CTTAATTTGAAAGGATCAATAGGCAAGGTCGCACTGCCCCCTGGTGGTTTATGAAGGAATGACATCTTTAAGTATGAATGATTATCACCCAGAGGCGAGTGCTGAAGTGAAAAGGGTTGGGCACAAAGCCACTGAGGGCATGTTACCCGAGTGATTTGTGGCCCGGAGGCTGGCTATTACTATGCAGGATGTATTTAACTATAGCCTGGGCCCATGAGACCAAGTCTAAAGTATCCCCTTTAGCCCAACATTGTCTGATTTACACTTAATCATGAGTAAATGTTCTTGACTCAACAGGTCACATCATTTAAGGATATACTACAAGATGTATACGTTCTCATTTGTGTGCATTAAAAAAAGCAAGCAGAGCTATAGCCTAAAGACTGGAAATAGTCAGTAGTCTACAGCTAGCACATTATCTTTGCCAGAACTCAAGGTAACAAGAATAATAATTAATTAGCATTGTTTAATCCTTACAAAAGTGTTAAAAAACGATATCATGTGGTTTCCCTGACCTGATTATGTATTTAACAGGAACAGTGACTTCCTGGAGTCTAGTCTTTGTATCTTTATTTATTTAATGCCAAGAAAGTACATGAATATTTTCCAAACTGTCAAAAACTGCTGCAGTAAGAGACACTGTAGTAACACAAATGGGGCGAAGCCTGCGAGCTAGTTCAGGCAGTCAACTCGAGCACTTATGTTGCATTCATACATGATATAGCCGGTCAGGAGGTTTGGTTGCATCTGTGAGGTTTGTTCCACAGTTGTAAAGTTGCATACATTTTATTCATGAATGCAAAAAGCACAATTCAATTTATCAGCAGAGATTATAAAATAAAGGTCAAAATGTTTGAAATATGACAAGAAAAAACCAAGAATCTATTCTCCCTTGTGTCTTGAATGTCATTCGTGGAAACGCAAATGCCAGAAAAAGTGCACAGTTAAATTGACTGATAAATCTTTGGGGACAAAAGTAATAGACAATCTAGAGAACTTTCTTCTTTTGTATGTTTATTTACAGCAGAGTAGTTTCCACAGACATCTTGAGAGTTGCTGTGAGTTTTGACATTATTACAAATGGCAACACAGTGGAAATATTTCTACAAACCACAAGTACTACCTATCCTGTGATGATACCTTTGAACAAGCAATGTTTCTATCACAAATCATGAACACGTTCGCCATGACTAACACTGAGTAATCCATCTGTTTTTTTACAGAATAAGACAATTGCACTTCTAAAAATGTAAAGATGACAGTCCAAAGTTGCTCATATCCCAAGAAGAAGTGCTAATCTATTAAGTGCTCCTACAATTTGCTCCTACAGTAGCGTCTTTTGTCAAGAATGAGGTCTTGTTCAGCACACAATGATAACAGAGGTGTTAGAGTACTTGCAGACCGTCGCTGGGTCACACAGACAGAGTTTGAGTCTATTCATACCCATTCTGAGAAGCACGATTGAGCTGGTATACACACAAAACTAGATAAGAGGACGTACAAAAAATGCACAACAATGTGACATCACTGGACAAAGCAGCGCACCACCAAAGCACCAGAATGTACTGTATAGAGAAAAGCCAGAGAGATAGAAATACACATAGTTTTGTACAAAACAAAAATATCATTTATGCATAAGAATTTCATAGTTTTTACCTTTGAAAATAACACAATCAGGCGTTGTTTGACCACAAATGATATGTATCTGAGTTGGATATGCTGCCATGATCCTCTACAATTGTATGCAAAGATGGGGCACCTGAGTAGAGAAGAGCCAATTTATTTTAAAATGACTGTCTGCACTGAGAGGTATGACCTGCCTGGGGAGGATGTCCCTTCTCCCTGCCTAGCACTTCAGACGCCTGAGTTATGTAAAAGTGGTGTTTTACCAAAGAGTGACTATTAGGATGTTATTGGGCAGAATCAGACACTTCTTTGCTCTCTTCTTCTAATATTCGAGTACCATTTTAGTTAACCCATGCGTTTCACTCTTTAAAAAGCTTTTACTGTTGCAGAATGACAATGTAAAAGTAAATTGCTCCAACTGACCCATCCTCCCTTCTGTGTTCACCACTAGACTGGACAATCCAAGCCACTATAATGAGTAAAAACTCTCACTGAGGTCAAATGAAACGTTCAATCATGTCCTCTCTCTTGGCTCACAAAACAACAGGATGCTTATGAATACATGTTTACTCGTATTAAGAAACTGATCCAAATAAAATCAACACTTTACCAACATGAGGTATACTGTTTAACCCCCTTGTAAAGAGGATGAAATAAACAAATTATTAAAGTAATTATCGTCTCTACAAAATGAGATCATGAGTAATTTTCCTCACAAATAATCTGATGCTCTAGCCAACACAAAGACAAAAGAAAACAATGAAATGTACATGTATTTAAAAGTCAGTGGTTGAAGAGTTAGTAGAGCTCCTTTAGGCAGAGCATACATCCTTTATGCTGGAGGCAGGTTTATTTTATTTCCTATTTCAGACCCTCTTTGTTGTCTCTACATACCATCATGATCCACTACTGCATCAAGACTTGAAGCACGAGAACGTTGCATGATTTGACAGTCACCATTTTTGTGAAAACACTGAATTTAAACTGTATGTTACTAAAAATCTTAGTACACTGTATCATTTACATTTCAAACTATCATTTTATGTCAGATGTTGGCAGCTATCATAAAAGCGTACTCCTCAATAGAGAATCACAGTTTCCCAGTGATTGAAAAATGGATATGCCGGGTGAGACTTTATACCCAAAAGATCAGTAGAAAATGTTTGAAAGGTCATTTTTGTCACAGTGACCGATTACTTACTTGAAACACTATCTTAATCGTTCTGATTCAGTGACCGCCATCCACTTGGTTGTAGTCCAAGTAGTTTGCAAAAACTGCAGCTCAGACTTTAGTATCTGCAAATGGTGAATAGAGGAACTGAAACCAGGTCTGCATGAAACCTAAGCAGAGCAGGAGCAGAGTCTGTAGCACTTCTCTTCATCACATAAATATTACATTATTACGGCTGACCTGGACTAAGAGAGGTATGTTTGAGGTATCAAACTGGAATGCTTTTAAGAATATTATGCTTATTTCTAGATTTTGGACATACAGGCTTTTGAGGATGATGTGAAACAGTTTCAATATAAAATCAGTTAAGAACCTGGATCAAAAATACAAACATCATTTTGGTGGTTTGCTTTAGTTTACTGCATATAAAGGTGGTAATCAAATCAAAGCGTAGAAGGCTGTAGCTGCACTGATTTTATATATTTAAATGTCTCACCCAAATAAAAGACATCACAGCAGGTGTTTGACTTTTAACAGCTGATAGGAATCTGTTCTGGCATCACTAATTGGAATTGGGCCACAGGTAAAACACACTTGTCACTTCAGATTGATGAGTAGAGTGGCGCAGCAGCAGTTCCCTGCCAGAGGCAAGCGTGCTGTTGAGTGCTTTTTACGCACCATTTGAGTATGATTTTGAAATAGCATGCTTCAGTAAGTGCCATACTTAAGTCTAAGGTTTGTAACAAAGCCTTCTGTAACTGACAGTTGTTCAAATCTGAATTGTTCACCCACTCACCTCCAAAACATCTTGCATTTAATCTTTACCCAGGTTCGCTTTGAACACATTCATTTGTCCCTTTATAAGTGCTGCTGTAGCAAAAAGAAACCTTGTTGATCTAGGTTGTAATGTTTAGTATATACATGGCAAGGCTAAACAAATGATCTCTGAGGTACCAACAATGCATTGTTTTCGGAAAATCAAGGACTGCATGTGTTAGAGAAAACCTGTTTGTCATGTCGTGAGGGACATTTTACGTTTCTGATGGGATTGAGAATAGCTGGTGAGATTTTGACATACTGTATGCAAGAACAAGGGTAGAGAGAAAGGTAGGAAAGAAGAGTTTATCCACTCACTATTGAGTATCGAATAACAAGAAGAAAGCCACCTGAGAGAAGATGAGGCATCATATTCAACACATTTGGGCTCAAATGTTATCAACATTTGAGTGGATATTAGTTTTAAGATTATTATTTTTAACTGATCTCAACAACTCCTTTCTTTTAATCACATCAGTTCAAATGAGTCTTTTTGAAGTGAAGCACCTTGTGGAACCAGCTTATTTGCAAACCCATTCTCTCATCTGTGAAGACAATTATTGCTTCCTTTGGGCAAATAATTATATAGCTGCTGTCATTTTAAAACAGGAGTAAAAATACAGACCAGAGTTAAAAGGACATTTGTTCTTCCTTGTTAAATAAGTAGAGCAAGAAGCTTGTTGATGTAATCAGTACTTTCAGGACTATAGTTGGTGAATTTATTTAGCTGGCAAACAGGTGCCAACAATGTCCAATTGCAGCAGCTTATACTACAGCTAAACTACAGCTGAATGACATTGGCTGGACCTTGTTCAAGGGGCTTCATATCATAGACACAGAGATTTATGTTGTCTGTAGGGGTTTATCGTTAACATAAGACTGAGTGACCCAATCTCTCAGAGGACGCTACAATGCACTAAAGCGACAATTCCTTTGTCATGAAATAAGAGCATACAGTCGGACGATTATTTCTGCAAACACCAAAGGCTGTGATATCAGAAAAATATCTTAAAAAGGTGCTAGTTGAATAGAACTGATAGAATCACACTGGAAGCAGTCCTGAAAAGTAATGAGGTAGTGTTGTTGGTAAGAGTAGGGATGCACTAGTTCATCGTTTACACTGCTAAAAACAATGCTGACTGAGTCAATTATGGAAAGCAATCTGATGGAAAACGTTGAACTTTTAGGGGTTAATGCAACATTTTTTTGGCACATTTATTTATATTTTCTGATAAATGCAGAAATAAATGTAAAAAAATTAAATGATGGTACTGAAGCAGAGAATAGCATTTTGGAAATGTTTTCACAAAACTGCAATCAGATATACCTCTAGAGTTAAGTTGATTTAAAAACATTGGCAAGTGTTTCACATGAGGAAATGATTATACTGAGTTCAAAAGCGGTTTAATGGCACAGTATTGGTGCATCCCTAATAGGGAACCAAATCAGATGGATTGTTTAAAACGTTTTACTAGTTCTCCTCGTACCAACATAATAAAACCAGTACCAATGTGAACATGTCAATTCTTCCATAATGAGATATCCACCAAATACAACAAAAATACTTTTTACTTTTCAACTGAGTGTCCCTGGTTTACAAAGTTACACCACGTGAATATATGGCATTATGGAAAAGAATACTTCATGTGTAGCAAATGTGTATACTCCATCTTTGTACATTTGTATTGTCTTTTTGTTCTTCACAATGACAGTTGTTGTGTACTGAATAGAAGCATCTATAGAAATATACAGAGGTTATAAACACACCTACAACAATTAGGCACCTGAGACCCCCACACTCCAGTCAGGAAAAGTGTGTGTATGAGTGACTGTTTAAGCTTATGTGTAATACCATGGAATCAGCTGTAATTTAACTTTCTATGTGGATCCTGAGACAGCAGGAGGCTGGATATTCTTTGAGGCTTTTCCCTCGGTGCCACGGTAAAGCATCCACACGACGGAGCCCAGGAGACTTATCGAGCTTGCGTTGCACATCCTCCCATCCACGTTGATCACCTGTCCCTCTCTCTTACAGAACGTTGCAGGCTTTCTCATTCCTTAGTGGAACAAAGCAACGTGCGACACAGTGGGAATAGCCTCCTTCAGTCCACTTCATTCTGCTTGGTTAAGTTACATCTTTCTTTCCTAAAGACAGGGAAAAAAAGCCAGAGGAAAATATGGTTGCAATGCTAGACAATGCATACCCATATACAGTACTCTACCACTAAAAATATACTGTATGCTGTATATACACAAACAATGGATTCAAAGTACCTATAAAATCTTTGCACGGAAGAGAAAGGAATCCAATAATGAGATGCATACAAATAATCCTTAGGGATTCTTCCTGGGTACGTAAAAGAAAGAAAATCTGTCTGCTGTCTGTATGTGTGTGTAAGGGCCGATGCCCTACATGCAGATGCTACGGGCACAGATAACTGTGTGCTACTGAGGTAGAGTGGACAAGGCCGGAGCTGACAAAGGGGGCAGGGGACAGCCCGGTAGAGATGACCTTTCCTGGAGCCGGATGGCAGTGTCTTGAGTCCCCGTTCTCCAGGTGTTCTGACCTCAGCACAGAACGCACCGTCTTTGGGGAGTGGAAGCCATTGGTCAGCCTCACTTCCTGCTGTGGTTCTATGTCTGCGCTCGGCTGGTCCCCCATGCCTTGTAGCTCCCCATTGTGATTAGCCACCAACTTTATCAAGGGAAGACTCGAGGGGCTCTGGGTGAGTGATAGTTTTTCGAGTGTGTCCCCCTCTCCCAGTGGGCTCGGCTGACTCACAGGGGAATAGCTGTCCTCTGATAATGAGGGTCCTCTGCTGGTGTTTGAATCCCTCTCCCGTTCGCTGCCCTCCTCCTCTGGGTCTGAGAGCTCTGAATGAACAATGACTTCTGCCTCCACCTGGTTACTGCACATGGATGAACACAGACGGTCTTCTAAGTCCTGCAACAAAACAATATCAGTGATAGTTAGGATTTTATACAAGTTGATATACCCAGGTTACTCAAGGATTCAATGTTGTTTGGGGAAGTTAATATAAAGTGAACGGTCAATTATAGCTCTTCCTTTGTACACATTTCTCATGGAGAAAAGCAATGAGCCAAATAGACTGTTTGCTAAACCCCTCCCCCTTTCAGCAATAGCCCAATTATTGTTACATGTTGTACGTAAATGCTGTATATATTTCCCCTTTCACTAACGATAGTGTTTTTTATCTAATCTACTCTACTTCTATAATCTCTTATGGTATAGTAATACATCTGTCCTGCTCTTTTTTGGATTGGTGGATGAAACCATAGCTTTGTTAACTGAGGTAGCATTATGTTTTCTGACATTTTATCTAGGACGTGGTTACAGTTATCCATACATTGCATATTTAAGAAACCTTGAAAGAGTTTGTATTTTTGTTTATAAACCGTTTTGTTTTGTTTTCAGCAGACAGAAATAAACGATAACCCTACTTTTGTTAACTTATTTCTGAAATCGAGAACATTTTGTGACAAAAAACAGACTTTAAATGGTAAGTCTGACCCAATCCCTATCATGATAAACTGCATTGAACGTGCCATGCAAGAACCGAATACTTGAAAAGCATAGAAGCTGTAACTAAGGGTTGTGATCTTCAGGAAAACGTTAATAAGAAATGCCATTTGATCCATAGATGCTACAGCTGAGGTGGCTTGTTGCTTGCTTGCTAAAATAGATAAGTCATTTCATTAACTACTGCTCATTTACTGTGCTATTATCAGTAATTACCATGCTGAGAGCTCCATTTATGAGCGATGGAGAGTCTTCTGTTATGGTGTCTCTGTATCTAGTGATCCTGTTGGCCCAGTCATGACTCACAGAGCCATTCCACGCAGTCTGCAAGACAGAAAATGCACCGAAATTACAACTTTAACCCTCTACCAACAGTTTAAAAAAGAATAACATAGTGTACAAGGCCAATGTGGAGGAAAGCTTCCCCAGCAGGTTTTGACCTTGGGTTCAGGTGCAGGGTTATCCTCCCCCTCCCCTGGATTAGCACTTGCCATCAGGTTCTGCTCCTCGGGGGCCTCTTCTAGCGGCTGACCAGACTCTTGGCTGCCTGAGGGCATCAGGGTCTCCAGCTCGTGGCTATCGCTGCACTCTGGCACGCTGGTGGGAAGGGGGCATCCTCCTCGCCTGTACTGAAGGGTCACAGCTGTGGAGTCCAGGCCCCCAGACACCTCTCTATTTGGATCAGAGATGAGAGTGATGGTATAGCAGTTAGACATTATAGAGGACTGCGGGTTAATACAGGTGCATGGGCAATTATGACTGGCTTTTTGTTTGAAATACAACATTATACTGCATCGGTACTGTACAAATACTGACACTGTAGAGTTACATTACCTGGATTTGCCATTACGAAAGCTGAAACACATGCAGAGGAGGATGCATATCAGACCCAGACACACACCGACTATGATGCCTGTCACTGCATGGATGTCCAGCTCTGTTCAAATATCAAACAATATGAGATAGAAGGATTAAACAGGTAATAATTAAAGTAAACAAGGATCAGGGCAACACACACTCAGAGTTGGCAGAAATGTTGCTGGTCCCAGAGATATAAGCCATATTGGTTCTCACATGTGATCCGTTGCCAGTAGCTATTTTGGCTCATATCTAAAACTTCATATTAGGAAAATACTAAGAGTTATTATAGCATCTCTAGTTTGAAATAGAGTTTGGCTCAGGCCTGCTGTGAAGAGGCGCTGCATATTGATTCCTTAATATAAGATAAAGTTATAGTAGTGGAGAGATATGAGGCAACATTCAACTAGGGACAACAGGCCTTCATTGATATTCATTTATGCTGGCTTTCTTTGGCAGTGTGGACACAGAGAGGAGAGGAAACAGATGGCTGGAGCTCTCGCCCACCCACCAGCCACCTCACTCCCATTCACACTGCATACTAGCAACACTGCTGCCTATGTGAACAAAATAAACCTGTTACTCTGTATTATTAATTTTAAATACAATGACAAAGCACTCCTGCTGCTTTTTGCATCAGAAAAGTTGTATATTCAGATATCTAAGATATATGATTCTTTAAAAAAATAAATTCCCATCCATTATGCACTCCATGGCTGGCAACGAAAAGAAAAGAAAGTCATGTATGTGTGAGAAAAACAAGCTTGTGGACAGCGTGTACACAACAATATTGTTCTTAGTTGTGTATATACTGTAGGTAACTAAATGCTTGTATATTCAAGCTTAAATGTATACCGATTTAATTGAGTTTACAAGCTCATCTTGGACAATTTCAACGACTCCCTCTGTTTGAAGACAAAAAGGGCATTTAATGATTACAAGTTAAGCTAAAATGCTGACTGATGGAATTAGAAAGTGTATAATGAGATTGCATGCTTAAACAAAAAGTGATATGAAAGAGAAGAAAGTGCTTTTTATCCCGGGCTCAGTGAACAGTAATTCAAAGGTCTCCCCTGGGTGTTGCTGATGAGGCCGTCCCTTTGTTATCCACACTTCATATTCTCCTCAAAAATGTACCAGATAAGAAAAAAAAGCAAAATAACAGAGTTAAAGCCGAGCTAAACTTTCACTGCTGGCAGAGACAAATTACCCACTTTAACAGGAGAGGCTGTGTGTGTATGAGAATCAATGTGAAAGTTATGCTTATGGAAGCAACAAGCCTGTACTATTTCCCTCCTAATAAACTAAGAAGCAATTGAACACTTATTGGAAATAGAACAATTACAGAAAACTTAATTTTTACCATATAATATTGCACTGAATTATGTTACTCAAAACATCATCTATCTGAATTTGACATGATTTGACATTTCCAGAAGGTGGTGCAATTTTAAAAACTTGATTTACATTTTTGGGGAATACAGATACAGATAGAATATACAGTGTCCAGTGTTGTATTGTACAAATTGGTGGTATTAAAGTTGCTTGAATGCCGATCTTAAAAATCTAAGAGACAAACTGGATGAATGATGTCCTGAGCTGAAAAGAACGCCAGCTTGCTAAAAGAAAGTGCATGTAAGCACCGATAAGTCCGTCCCTTTACAACCCTTTTCCCTGTTTATAAGATCGAAGAGTGGCCTTCCATACAGCATTGTAAAATCAACATGGCATGTAGTGTAGGTTGAAGCGTTCAACTGAAGCTACATAGCCGATTTCAACATTAGTCTGGCGTTTTTAAAGCTGCTGAAGGGCTTTAAGTTAACTAAACTTGCTGGCCCCCTCATTGAAGGAAACTCACATTTATTTAGTTTATTTATGCTGGTGCACTAATATCGCATCTATAGACTTTACGTATTTTGCCTCCCTAAACCCTTCTGTCACAGAGACTGCAACCTTTCTCTTAATCCCTCTTTCTGTTGCCAATATCTATTCACGAATGTACCCTCTCTTTACTAAAATATGACTTATTCAACAACAAAATGTACTGCTACTACCACTACTACTACAACAACCATAATAACATGATTACTGTCACTTATATATGTTCGATTTGCCACGTACCATATTTCTGAAGGGGGGTGTTGACATCCTTTACAGGTGAATAAGGCCCTGACCCCATTTCAGTGGCTGCTCCCAGTTTGAAAAAGTAAAGTGTGCCACTGGACAAACCCTGGACCTCCACACTGGTAATGCTCCCTGAGAGAGACAGAGAGAGACAGACAGGAAGAGATTGTCAAGGGCAAGCCCATCGTAAAGCATGTTTCACTCAGGCATGTAATACTAATAAATATTAAACAAGATTTTAAAAATAAAGTGGTTAGTTGCACTTAGTCTGAATATACATGATAATGTGAGCTTTACAAATGAACAGTTTAAAGTGCAGTTTGTTGAGTCATCCCAGCCAACACTCACCCTCCTGAGAGAGGTCTTCCCATAAGTGATCCGGCTGGCTGAAGTTGCCACTGAACAGGATGCTGTAGCTGATAATGATACCGTTCGGCTCCAGCGGAGGGCGCCAGCTGGCCAGCACCGAGGACGAGTCCAGAGCGCTCAGCTGCAGCTCCTCAGGAGGAGTGGAGGGCCCTGAAGGAGAGCGGAGGACTGGGTCAGTAATTAGAGATCAGAGATGAGGCCTCACAGCTGTGGAATGTATATTGTCTTGGTGGGGGATTTGACATGCTGTGTGAGAACCATCTGCGTCTTTGTGTCCCAACCACCTGGGTACAGGAGAGAGGGGTCAGGCAAAGGGAGAATGGGCTGGGGCTCAGGTGACGATACATGGCAGTGGAGAGTGTGAAGGGTGACTTATGTCATGGGTGTAATAATGTCATTAAAAGGAGACCACTCAACACTCTCCACACTAACTTGGCAACATGAGAGCCACTGCTACACCTGGTTGTTTTATTCCTGCCAGTTATCAGCCACAAATGCCAACTACTAATACCCATGTCCACTGGCAACTGGCCAACCAACACTCTGATCTGCACATGAGTGAGAACACTCACCTGCATGCACATGTATATATTAGATTATCCAGTGCAACTACTTCACCTTGCTATCTGCACACAGCAAGGTTATCATGTGCAGCTATTCAGAACAAGATTCTGGAAGCACAAATGTGTAGCTGAAGGACAAGATTAAATGAAATAAATTATTTATAAGCGACATGAGGTAATATCAAACACAAACAGAAAAACTCACTGACCCGGCATCCTCTTCCAGAAACCGTCCCTCACATATACAAATAGTAGTGTATCTTCCCAATACAACACAACTCTAACACACTTTTTGGCACAGCTCAAGGGCACTGCAAAGGTTGTATGAGCCAGGAGTGTTTTTATTCATCAATATCACGTCAGTAAGAAAAGATTTGAAGTGCACACTTGATTGAGTTTTCTTAATTATTTCCATAGTAAATGCAACGAAACATATACATGTATACAGTAAGTAACAGTAGGTATTGTTAGTGTAAACCTGATAAACAAGCATATTTTATAGCCCACAAAGTATCACAGCAAAATCTTCAGATTGGGTCTTAAACCAAATCCAAGTGAATTGCAGCAGAGACTCACGGTCAGACAGGGTGGACTCCTCCACTGTGCTGCTGAAGGGTCCCACCACGTCCACTCCATTAGACTGCACCGCCAGCTCATAACGGGTGAAGGGCCTCAGCGCCCCGAGCAGTATCTCCTGAGCAGAGCTGCAACACACAAACACAGAGAGTTCAGAGTGTGTGGTGTACATTTTGGATTTTGTTAGATGGAGAAAAATAACTGAACTGATCAATTTAGTCTTGTTAGTTTGTGCAACTTGTTTGTTATAATATGTATTTTCTGTATGTTGTGATAAATAATTTTGTTGAATAAATATGGCATACAAAGATTGATAAGAGGATATATGGTATGTTTCCTTACATAGAGTAGTATGTACCAGTTTAAGTGTAGAGGGTAAGGACAATATTATGTGCTCCATTTTGATTACTGTCAAAAATAACTTTAATATTGGAGCTACTCAAGAAATAATAGTACCCTTTCGAGAAAAATGTGGTACACTGTATATAAGAAGGGGACGTAGTCAACGGACGTCATTTACTGTTTTGTGGGCTGCCGTTTTGATTCCTTTAGTTTGGTATTTTGTTCATCGCTGGAATTGAAACAAACCCTGAACAAGACATTATTAGGTGACCTGAATGGTTTGCTCAGAGGCTCCTCCAATCTCGCCAGTGAAAATGTCCTTGGGCAACTTACTGAACCCCACATGTCTCCCAAAGGCATAGCTGTTGGTGTGTTAGAGTGTGTGAATGAGTATTAAATTAAATGATGCACTTGACACCATGAATGTGTTTCTGAATTGAATTAGGGGGGTTGGAAGACTAGAAAGATGCAATAGAATTAATGTCCATTTAATAAAAAGAGAAGCATTTTATTGTAGTCAAATAAGAAAAGTAACTTCTAAATAAAGACAGAATGACCATATGTGTTTTAAGAAAGACAATTATGGTAAATATTGGTGTTTCCTCACATCTTAGGTTTGTATCATAACTGAAGACCTGTTCAAACACAAACACTGTTCAAATTAGATTAGATTAGTTCAATTGTTGACCATGAACTATGGGGATACGTTGCTGAGTTATCCCAAGCTACTTTCTCTTAAACATTCAGACAGTGATTTAGTTTCTGTTGTTCCTTCCAGTTCCTCACCTCGTGTAATATGAGACCAGAGAGGCGTTGGTGGTTCCCGCCGGGCTGCAGCGCACCGTGTAGTTGATGATGCGCACGTTGCTGAACCGCGGCTTCTCCCAGCGCAGCCAGATGGAGGTGGAGCTGTTGGCCATGGCTTGGATGCTGCTTGGGGGCAATGGAGGGGGGCGCATGGGCGGCAACGATGCTTTAACACACACATACACATTACTTGCCTGGATGTAATTTGTCATTATTTATTATCCCATAAAAGTGATTGAGGGTATCTATCACTCATTCATTCATTCATTTATGTATGAATGCGCAAATGCAGGAAGATAAATCTTACTTCTGTCGGGGGCTTTTTCTGTCCTTCCATTCCACATAGCAGCCGCTCCATCTATCTGCTTGTTGAATGCCCAAACTCTCACCTCATACTGCCGGTCAGGGACTGGCAAACACATACAGCAACATCAAGAAAGAGAAATACAAAAATGTCAACAGAAAAAACATGTTATTCAGCCAGCTTTATGCATGTTATAGAAGTAAAGCCGCCTGCTAGAAAGACACGATCTTTAAGTGTGGACAAGTTGCCCTAGATCTTATCTTAATGCAGTTATTCAATTGGTGGTTTGATATACTAAGATAGGATCTGAAATCCAATGCCTTTAAATGAGATGCTGAATTATTCATTTATTTTCATGAGGCATCTGTCTACTTTTGGTCCTTATTTTTCAAAAGTGAGAATGCTTATGAAAGCGGAGTTAAAAATGATATAAGGACACCGGTCAAAAAGCTCAGAGTTGAATGAAGCTGTCCAAAGGCTAGTGTGAAAAAACCACCCAGCTTACCCAGCCCAGTGAGGAGATGATACCGGGCTTTCTTACGGAGCCTGATGGTGTGAGTCTGTGTCGTCCTCTCTCCGTTGGCTGCCTCTTCAGCCTCCACCTCTCGACAGGACAGCTTGTAACCAGAGATCAGAGTGTGATTGGGCGACGGATGCCATGTCACATTCAGTGTGTTCTCTCTGACTTTGACTTTCAGCTCAGTGGGGGCAAAGATCACTGAAAACGTTTGAAAAAGGAAGACAAAATAGCATGACTGGGAATTCCAAATGATTACAATATTACTGACCATCAGACGTACACTTTACATATATCTTAGGTGTATTTAAGTTCAGATCAGTGGTTCCCAAACTAAGAGGGAGTAGTCACTGAAGTCTAGGTTCAAATTATCCGGGGAAAATGTGAAAATGTGAAACTAAAATGTACAATTTGACAAGTAAACAAGCAATCAAGACATTATTTAGCTGTCTTGCATTGTAATCAATTGTGGAATGATTTATTAATGAGATATGTTTCACCGGTGCTGTTAAGTTTTATGTTTGTTATTTTCCCCATATGAAATAAAAATGTTAAAGTCTCATCTCATACAACAATTATACTAAAACACCTGTGGGATCCCTAAGTAAAATAAAACAGGATTTTTAGGGAATGAACCACTGGCGTTTTCCTTACCCATGCTTTGGTCGCTGTGGTTGTAGTGGGCTAATGTTTGGTGCTGGGCCCACTCAGAGGGGAGCCCAAAGCCAACGACCGTCCCCGCTGCTATCCTCAGTCTGTAGGCCTGTTTGGGCTGCAGCTCTCTCAGAGTGAACTGAGTCTCATTCCCCCCCACTTCCATTGAGAACACTGAGTCCACTGCGGGAACACACAATACACACTTACATATGTATCTACAAGACTTTTTTCTTTAAAAAAAACAAAACATTAATATGTGCCGTTTTGCAATACATAGTTCAACAAATCATGTTCTTTTCAGCATATATGTATGTCCTTCAATTTCCTACTCAACTATTCCTCTGATCAACTTCACACTTGACAGGTGTACTGCTTAGGACCCAAGGAAGTGTAATCTTAAGTGTGAGCTCTTGAGATATATTGAATGTATTTATTAGTAATGCATTACATGCATTATTTATCGAGAGAGGGCTTCAACTATCAACACTTAACAGCATGCTGAGTAAAGAGTATTAATGGACATGTGAGCTTTTGCCCCTGCACCTGACTGATGTGTATACTCCACTGCACACTGCAGGGGGATATAACTATCTTACAGTAGGTGTATTTCTCAGTATCAAAGAAAGTTTTCGATAAAGCTGCAATATTTATAATAATAACACACACAAAAGTTAACTAGGCTGTCTTTTTCAATGAATAACAGTTCATGGAGAAAGCAGAATGTGTACATATCCTGAATTATACTCACTAAATTGTGCTTTCCCTGGCTGTTTAGGTCAATGTGTTGTCCAGCAGGGGTTACTCACCCTGATCCACAGTGCTGTACTCAATGCGGTAGCGGGTCACAGCTCCTCGACTGTACTGCGAGGACAGTGGATGCCACATCAGCCTGATGTCTGTGGGGGAGGTGCTGGCTATAGACAGCTGAGGAGGGGCACTGGGCACTGCAGGAGGAAACAACATGACATAATGAACTGTTAGATGATGCTCATTCAAGGTATATCCTATAGATCCACACAAACACATTATATCTCCAACTAAACTCAACAAATAAGTGTTTAAATTATTCAAGGAGTGGATCGTGTTGATTGGAACAATTCTCATTTGAGTCTCTAGTGATTACTACTTTTGTAACAACTACATGAAATGACAATAAATTAAGAGTTTAAATGTTGGCATTCAATTGATTTTGCCCTGTGAGTCTATGAAGCATCCAAGGCTGGTATATTGTTTAAGTTACTCACCGTCCTCCAGCATCTCCACTGTAACAGGCAGGGAGGGGCGACTGGCCCCCATGGGAGAGTAAGCCACCACAAAGAAAGTGTAGGCAGTGTGGGGCAGAAGTTCTTTGACGTGATACTCTGTGGTGTCGTTGTTCATCGCAAACTGGTACTCTACATTATCTGACCCTGAAAAGGACAACAATAATCAAATGCTGGTAACACTTTATATTAAGGTACACATATTCACCATCAACTAGTTGTTAATTTACATGCGTATTAGCAGTATATTGGCTCTTTATTAGTCCTTATAAAACACTTATTAATGCCTTATTCTACATGACCATATTCTCCCAGTACTAGGCCATTAGTTAAGAGTTGTTCCTTATTAACCCTCTAATTAGTGCGTATTTATGGTAAGTAAGGAAGTTGTTGTACATGAGTTTTGGTCTCAATATGCTCAATATGGACCTAATAAGGCAGCAGTACCACAATAATAGTAGTTCTCCCATAATAACACCAAACAAATATGGTATATTCTTATGTTACTATACATGAAACGACAAGTGTTAATTGTGTTAAAATAACACAACATTTGGTATTTCTAACTCAGAATATGTTCCCTATTTTAAAGTGAAGTCTTGTTCATAACAAATAAGCTAGTAGTTTGTCTCTAATATGTTAATTAACATGGTGAATAAGTGAACCTTGATATAAAGTGTTACCCAAATGCGTTATTTCAGGATGTTTGGGCACGCTAACTGTATAGCTACACATACAAATCGGGACACACCTGCGGCGCGTTGGCAGTGCACAGAGTAGCCGATGATTTGGTCTGCGTTGTACTCAGGTTTCTCCCAGGTGAGCAGGGCCGTTGTGCTGGAGTAGGGCATAGCAGAGAGGTGGCGCGGAGGGCTTGGCAGACCTTCCCTCACAATGACCGTCAACTTGGCAGTTGCGCAGGCTGTGCCAAGCCCGTTGTCTGCTATGCACTGGTAGTAGCCCTCGTCCTCCAGGGCCAGCTGGTTGATGAGCAGGACCCCAGGGCTTTGGGTCTTCACCCGTCTGAAAGACTTAATGGGATGACCGTCCTTAAGCCAGTGCAACACCGGAGGAGGTTCCCCTGAGCTGTTGCACACAAATCTGGCTGTGTTTCCCCTGGAGAGGGACACTGTCTCTGGGGGCTGGAGGATCACTGGAGGGGCTTTTGGAAGTAGGAAACAAAGCTCTTACTTACAGGAGACACTGATTATGTGCACTTTAATGTAAAAGCGTTAGATATGCCGTTTATAAAATAAAGAGAAATGCTTTAAGATAATATTTACATTTAAATAAAAATCGTTTTTAGTAATAGTAGCATCAGAACTTCAATTACTCTGTGTCTTAAGGGTCCACAGAAACCTCTACTATGTCATTATATACAGAAATGACAACACGTCTCCTACCAGGCACATGCAGCTCAGCAGCAGCAATGACAAATTCTCTGGTCTTGGGCTTGTTGGCCCGGCAGACGTAGACGCCGGCATGGTGACGCCTCGTGTCCCTAATCACCAGGTTAGTTGCGAGCACAACCACATCAGTAGAAATGGGCTTTCCATCTGATCAAAGAAGCAAGTAACAAAGAACGACAGGACATTCTCAGATCATTAAGATGAAAAATAACAGGAATTAGACACAGAGGAAAGTGGAGATCAATTTCCAGGCTTTCAGTTGCCTGAGAAACAGCAAAGAAGAAAGAGAGGCAGCACTTGAGGAGCAGAGGATTTGACCTGTAATCCCACAAGTTGACCAACAGGTGGCTCTGTGACTTTTTACTCCAGGTTCACTGAGGTGTCTGCATTGGCACACTCCCAGGCTGTGTGTAAAACCGTTCACTATACACTGTATAGACCTCTATTTAGTCTGTCCGCCATTTTGTGCTGTTGTTGAACGCAATACAGAAAATGATATGTAGTGAACAAATAAATCAGATGCAGCACTAAACAAAAAATGTCAGACATTTTGCCAAATCACATCACAAAGGAATCCAATAGTTTAACTTGACATCATTCCCACCAAGACTGTGTGTCTGTGTGTAGAAGCAGCAGGTATGAATTAATTAACATGACAAATCACCTCCTGTAAAGCATGGCTCAGCGCACAAAACAGTAGAAAAACACAGGACTAGTTGAGAAGGAGACAGCAATCACCAATAAAACAACAACTTTGCAGCCACAGGATACACAAATCTGTGTCCTGACGCCTTGATGTGTTTTCTTTGTGTGTGAGAGACGTATAGCCAGAAAGCGAGGCACAGATAATGGAAGTGTGACAGATGCTGTAAAATAAGAAAAACAAACAGGATGGGAACCCCGGAGGGGAAAAAAGCGAGTAAGAGCATTTGCCAGCGTTACCTTGTCTGCTCCAGGACACCAGAGGCTTCGGCTGGCCTTGTGCCATACACTCCATCACAGCGGGACGGCCCAGCACCACCGATGCATTCTGAGGCGGGGCAACAATCGCAACTCCGTTCAGAGCTTCAGTAGAGCCTAGAACAAAAATATAAATGTTTACTTTGGTGTTGTGTAGCAGTAAAAATGAAATTGACTACATTTAGATAGCACCTTTCTAGTCTATGTAACCACTCAAAGTGCATTTTACATTCATAAGTCGGCATCCACCTCATCAGGATAAACATTAACAAACATTCACACACTGCTGCCACTTCAGGGATCAGTATTTTGGCCAACACTTGACTGTAGTAGCTAGGAATTAATTACATTACATGTCAATTGTTAGATGCTTTTATCCAAAGCAACTTACATACTCAATACTGTGGGCAATCCCCACAGGAGCAATTTGGGGTGAAGTGTCTTGCCCAGGACACAACGACATAATGACATAATGACATAATGACTGCAGTGGGGTTTGAACCTGTGCTTCCCTGAGCCTAACACCAACGCACTAGTCCACTGCGCCACAGCCTCCCTCCATCAACCTTCCAATTGGTTGATGACCCCCTCTACCTCCTGCCACTCAATTAGATATGATTGAGATTGTACCTGACAGAATGATCGATGCTATCAGCCTGGTCGCAACTTCAGAATCAGTTTTTTCTTTTTATTGAATCCCCCATCCTTCACCAAAGGAGTGAACAAATGGAAATGATGCCTTATTATGGGGCAACAGCTATCCAACATTATTGCCTTTTTTTTTCTTTTTCTAACTATTCCTTGTATAACCCCAGCATGTAGAGACTTCCAGGCCCTCTTAGGTATAACAACCGTACTAAGAAATGGATTTCTCAACAACACTTTGATAATGAATGATAATTCTATGATCCTGGCTCCAAAATGGTGGAATGAGCTCCCCATTGAAATCAGGACAGCAGATAGCTTACACATCTTCCGGCGCAGACTGAAAACTCATCTCTTTCGACTCCACTTCGAGCGATAGAATTACTAACAAAAGACTTATATACTAACAAAGGACTGGCTTATCTAAAGCCAGTTGAGTAGCACTTGAAATGTATTAGCTCTATGAAACCTGATGTACTTATAAGATTCTGTTTTCTTCAAGTTTGTATCTTCTTGGTCGAACGCACTTATTGTAAGTCGCTTTGGATAAAAGCGTCAGCTAAATGCAATGTAATGTAATGTAATGAACGATTCAAAGATTGTCACCCTTACAATACTGGTTCACAATTCGTATTCTACTCACTAACACAGGGGCATTCCTTGCCCAGTGGATGGCAGTATGTATACGTACGTGGTTGCTGTTAACACCCAACATGTCATGATTTGCATTTCCTATTATCGAGCAATGCACATGAGATACACAGTAATATTGGGGCTTCATTTTAGATGATACAAATACCTAATTGTGATACATAACCTTTTTCTTTTTTAGTGTAGTGGAGCCTCAATTCAGAGTGTTTACCGCGACCTATCTTTGGTGTTATGAAGTGACTGAGCTCGTGAAATGTTCTACGGGAGGGCGGGGGAGCATCGCTGCGGGGCAACTGTGGACCTCTGTCGCCTGTCAGCGCAATTTATATGATGCCGTTTAAAAAAATGAAGGGCGGTGCCGGCCGTCAGCGTACCGAGCCGGCCGTCAACGGCCCGCTGACGACCGGCCGTTCTGTGATTCTCCAGGTCCGCCCTGTATTCCAGCGGGTCCGTCTGCACCGCGGTGCTGCGGTGACCCGGTGGAATACAGGGCCTACCGCGTTTAGGAACCGTTAAGCAGAACCGAAATTGTGTATTTTGTATGGGTACCCGGTACCCGGCATTTTCTTATCGGTTCTCATCTGGAACCGAGTTTCGGTTCCCAACCCTATACATAACTGATTAAGCCGCCAATGGACTGTTTGGACTATAAAGGGAATAGGAGGTGATAATCCAGATCAGCAGCTAGAGTTTCAGTGAGGCGGAAGACAGAGGAGCTTTTGAAGATGCAGGAGTTTACAGTAACTCCTTAGTGAGTATTTGCACGAGACAGTGTTTCTTTCTCACACAGCAGGTCACTTCATTATAACAAGAGTCTCTGCAGTTGTCTGATTGCTATCTCGTTGAGGCTTCATCCATTCTAAGTGGGAATGGATAAGACCTGAATAGGACATCTTTATCAGAGAGGTTTTGATGTAAGAGAATATATCTCATTTAATGTACAGGTTGCAGTAAACATCTCAGACAGTAGACATATTGTAGAAAACTGGTCAATAAACCCTGAACAAGAGGGTAGACATCGTTAGAGGAAATCATGATGAAACTTCGTGGCACCTGACACAAACCTGACAAAGCACAGAAAGGCTTGGAACATGAGGATGAGAGGGAGAAAAGGAGAACGCAATATACAGTGTCTTTCGAGAGAAAAAGGTAGACCATTAAACTTAATAGAAGGACCTCAATTACAGAGCTGAGGCTCTTCTCTGCTCTTCAGTGACCAAGGATGCCAATGAAAGCATATTGTTTATGGGATGAGGGAAAAAGAGACTATTATTTTTGAGAGCATATCATTCCCCAAGGTACAGCTGTTTAGTAGGACTGAACTTCAGCAGCACATATTGCTAATAACCTCCAGAGCACGGCCGGGCATGTTATATATTAATCATTAAGATTACATACAGCAATCCTTGGATATGCATAAGACTTAAAGTGGGTCAGTCTGCTTTTGAAAGGACTGCAGGGTGCATCTCCATAGGGGTCTTATGTGGATATGATGGGTAAGGGTGATTTTTTAAGCATGTAGAAACTGGGGAAGAGGTAGGTGAAACTATAAAGTGGAGGTTTAAGGCAGTTGGAGTACATTATATGTTAAGAACGTGGAGTGGAGCACCTCAGCAGCAAGCATGGCTATAGGTGTTAAGATGTCCTATTCATAGAACTCTGAAGTGGAAGCGAATGAAGTAAGAGATCTGACATCTGTTACTTGAAATGGCTCTCAAGAGAGCTTTAAGTAGTCTCCCCCGAGTCTTTACTGGTTGGATATTCCATTAAAATGTACTATATCTACCTAACTCCTTTTCCAAAAAGCTCTTGACTATCTATAGCGCCTGTCGAAAAGAAAAGAGGATATGTTCTTTTCTATTGTATACTTGTACTAAAAGGAAGATACAGGCATGAGAAAAGTAATACAAATGAAGAAGGGGGCTTTTGAAAACTTGGAACAACGTTTTAAAAGTCAGTATGTGGTATCTGATTCACTTATCAGTTCATCTCTCTCCTCTTTTTTTTTTAAAAAAGACACAAAGGCTGTGACTCAAAACATCCTGATGGTTCCCGCAGAGGAGCCAATTACAGTTGATTGATCTCTAGCTGCAGAGGCAGATAATACGACATAGCTTTAATGTGGGCTGCCTAATGGTCAAATCACACCTCACTGTAGTCTCACTGATTCAGAGCACTATGTAATCCACTGATGTAAGTCCTTTCAGTTTCCTGAAAGATATTCCTTCATTCTGTAAACAGCATCAATCATTTAATGTTGTTCTTGTTTCATTGATTTGGGCATAATTACTCCACATTGTAACATGTATCTTTTATTTGTTGCCATACGATTGACATTTTGAGGTTAAGATTTGTTTTCTTGTCAGTGGCTTGAAGATAAATATCATTTGTATTATATTTAATTTAAGTAAATTTCAAAAAAGGACAAAAGGCTCTTTAATGTGAGACAGACATGCAGTAATTTGCTATGGCTGGTACAAAATGATCCGTTGTGCAGTTTTAGATGAACATTATTGGGAGACAATAAAGTGATTATTCCATAAATACGTATATTTATTTTCCAGAAGTGCTTACTTCTTAATAAACTTTGTTTTTGAAATGCATAACTTGGGATGTGCCAAGTTTAAATTGAGTCACTAAATTGAAACATTGCTTTTTTTCCCATTGTTCCATACAGGGAGAATGAGTCATGTGGGTGAAAAGATGCTCACATAATTGTGACAGGTGCTTAAGGGAGAATACGTTGAAATCTGTCTGTCAACATTGTTTTCTTGATATCTTTGTGTATCAGGGAAATTAAGTCTGAAGGACAGGCAAGAACAAGGCACAGCACTTAGCAGCGTTTCAAACAAAACATCATCAAGTGCTCTGCATCATAGAAATGCTTTTAATGAGAAATCAGAAGGACATGTATGGAAAAAGCATTGCATAGGAAACACATAGCAAAGGTCTGTAAAATGTATGTAGGCTGGACTTTTATGAAAAGAGTAGTTTTTCCGCACATTAAAGCCATTATATCTCGCTATTTCCTGTTGTATTATAAATAGAGGAATTGGTCTAGATACTTTCCCATATGTTCCCTATTCACAGATGTGTGTGCAGCATCAGCTACTGTGTTGCAATGTATAGATGAGGTTTCTACAGTCTTAGACTACTCAGAGGAATCACAATCCTCACAAAAGAGTCTACGAGTACAAAGCCACTGTATTTTATTGTAATGCAATCTATTATAATGCGTCCTCTACTAAAATAAGACCTGATCTACTTATTGTTACTTATTTTCCCATTCAAATCGGCTGAAGAGGGAAAGTTTAAAGTGTGCTTGCACAGGCATGTTTTTTATAAAATCATACAACAATGGTTCAAAACGCAACCAACAAAGTGTTATGTGGAACTTTGCATTTCAAAATATTTGAAAGAATGTTTTCTTTTTTCAGTTTTAGATAAGGTTCTTCACCATAGTTTCAAACAAACAATCTAAACAGTGGATTGATGAAAACACATGGTGAGAAAGTGTCATTTATTTAGCACTAGACAGATCATTTTCAAGCATCTAGTCCTAAAAACTCACATTAGGTTATTTGAGGGTGGCAGCTCCCAGCGGGGCCTGGCTGCCTATTCAAACACACTAAAGCTCTACAACAGGCCTCACCTGTGGTGACAGTGAGCCTGGCTTCATGACTGATGTCCTTCCTGGCAGAATTGGACGCGACACAGCGGTAGGCACCCTCATCCTCCTTGGTCACCTCCAGTATATGAAGCACCCCGTTAAGAAGGGAAATGAACCTGTTGTACACAGGGCATGACAGAGGAGAGGTGGCACGGTGAGAAAGAGTAAGAAGGTGATTGACAAAAAGAAAAACAACTGAACAAATGGCTTAGTGCCACGAAGCATAAAACACATCATGGTGATCAGCTCTGCAGGGATCCTTCTGGGTCCTCACAGGACCCCACCCTTCTTTATTTAGGAGAGAGGCTATTGTGTGCAAATACTACAACAAGGGGTTGCAATTACAAGTCATGCAACATAAAAAGTTATTGAAATACACAGATGAAAGCTGTTTTCTGGACAAAGACGCCCCCCTCCAAAATATATTTGATTTGTAAAATAATTATATTTTATTTTTATTTTTTATTTATCCTTTATTTATCCAGGAATGTCCCATTGAGATACACGATCTCTTCTTCCAGGGAGTCCTGACCATATATGTGCTGTTCAAATGTACTGTTTCTACTTGAATAATACTCTCTTCTCCACTTCTCCCTCTCTTATGGAGGTAATGTTCCAGACTACAGGCCCCCAGGGTACCGGGCAATGTGATGCCTTTATCGTCGTTATCACAGCCTATTAGTCCCACCAGGATATGAGTAGTCTGTTCAGACGGGAGGGAGTGGAGATGTGCTCAGTAAAAAGAGAGGGAGAATAAAGAGGCAATGGATGGAAAAACTAAACAAAGAAAAGGTAGAGATAAAAACCTGAAGACAAGGAGCAATGATTGGTGGGGAGAACATGGGATAGAGGAGTGGCAGAAATAGAAATGTAAAGGGGATGATCGTGAAGAGAAAAGTAAGAGACAGCAGAAAGGCAAGAGAGAGAACAGAAAGAGAAAAAGCTGGTGATAAATATCAGCCATTCCTTGCCTCATCTTTGTGAGAGGCCATTAACAGCGCCTGAGGTTGGAGAAGCACATCCCACCAATAAGACCTCATAAGCAGCAAGCTGTTTGCAGGTCATGTAGGGCTGAAGCAGCCATTAGCGTGTCCTCTGCAATAAGGCTGGAGACAAATTCCAAGGCTCTGCAGCCGGTAGAGTCACACTGAAATGTCAATATGGTTAAATGGCCCTGTAAATGAGACTATGCTGACAGCAGAGAAGTACATTTTGAAAATGTATCTTCTCTAGCTGTTAGAGTACCGGTAGTGTTATTTTAGCTCAAGGTTGCTCTTCTGACAGTAGTTGAAATGATTTAGACTTCATTTCACTAATGCCCTTGCAAAATTGTAATTCACATTTTGACAATATAGTTTGATATTCTGCCAGTAAAGAAAGTATGGAAACAGCTAAACTAAGAATCAGAGGCATTTACATGACATTACATTTATTCCATGTTACTTGTTAGAAGCTTTTATCCAAAGCGACTTACATACTCAATACTGTGGGCAATCCCCACAGGAGCAATTTGGGGTGAAGTGTCTGAGGGACACAACGACATGCTGACTGCAGTGGGGTTTGAACCTGTGCCCCCTGATCCCAACACCTACACACAACCCACTGCGCCACCCCCCGTTTATTTAGTATCTTAGTATTACTAAGAAACAAAGCGCTGACCTAACACGTTATTAAATGCTGCCGTTGTTTGAAAACTGTCTTTGCACCAATGGCAAAAGGTCTGCTTTGAAAATAGTTCAGTTACAGTTTATGTTGTATCTACTTCAGTCAAACCCCACACAATTAGTCTTCCATGATAATAAATGAGAGTTCGCTGCATGTACATTCTTTGTTGCTATTATCCGTAACTTGCATTGAATTGCCAAGGTTAAATTAAAGTGCTTTTTGAAATTGTTGCACTCTGACCCCTTCACTGACGCTTGTAATTTAGTACAGTCTGATCCAGGGGGAATAAACAAAGAAAGGATGAGGTAAGGATACACACAGTAATTAATCGCCTCTAAAATATTTGCAGGTACATGGATGTTTCATTAATCTACTTATTACGGGCATGTATGGAACATTTTTAGGTTTTCTGACTGCAGCAAAGTCACATTCACAGCTGGGTACAGACAGCAGGGGGAAGCACTTTGGTCGAAATGTTCAATTAAAACCAAAGGAAGCTGAAAATCCCAAAAGTATTAAACAAGTTGCAACTCATGTTCTCATGGTGCAAACAGGTGATTCTGAAATACTTTCTTTACTATGTCATGAAGGATAAAGTTTCCAAAACAGAACAACCACTTTTGGAATGAGTCAACTTCATATATCCAGTAATATCAGTGTGGCATTGAGGGATGAAAGACAATTATACAAGGAGACTTTCCCCTTTTAACCTTGAAAATCTAAAGGAACATATTACAGTGTAAAATTATATATATGTACAGTAGCACATGGGTTGCAATGAATACATACAAAAACTCAAAGCTACATTTTCTAGATAAACAAGCACATTTAAAGGTGGGGTATGTAATTTTGGAGAAACCAGCTCGAGTGCGCTAGAATTTGAAAATACACAACCCGAAAGAATCTGCCCCTTCCTTCAGACTTCCTTACAGAGCCCCTCCTCCAACACACACGAATGCGCACATGACCAATGAGGGCACGAGATAAGTTTGTGCACAGCTGGAAGGCTGACAGGCAGGTAGGCCTTCCAGTTATTTTAGCCGGGCCGGCTCAGATGATTGGTCGTGCTTTTTACAGCGCCACCGCTTCCACAGATGACTTTCTTTTATGTATTTATTGTCAAAGCATTTCATATATTCATTGCTATCGGGATGTTAAGAGCATTCCATGGAATATAACAAGTGTTTCTGAAATAAATTACATACCCCACCTTTAAGTGTGTCGTCTGCTTCCCTTTCTCGACATTTGTGAAAGACAACATTTATTTAAACTGCAAACACTTTGACTGTTGCAGTTTTATATTGTAGCAATGAATAGTCTTTTCTGCACTGCCTTAAACCAAATGTTGAGGGCCACAGCCATCCATAGTTTAATACAACAGTATTCTTCACATCACATTCTCTGAGATCAGCTTGCATTAAATAAGCACTTAATACTTAACTGTTTAAGCATTTTAGTAAACTATAGATCATTGAATTTTATAGTAATTAATTTAACTAGAAACTCAAGTCCCATATGATTTATCATATCAATCATTTGAATGACTTAATGTCATTATGTAATGGACAGCAGTAAGATATTACAGAGTGAACACACAAAGGGAAAAGTATCAGGTAAAACAAACAATAACAAAATGAATATGCACTAAAATTAATTGAAACAAACCTGAGTAATCACATCAGTTATTCATTGATATGTTGTTAGAAAATGAGATCACAGTAGAGAAGATGGAAAAGTAAGAAGGTGAAGGACAAAAACAAATAAAAGGGTCACCTTGTCTCCTCAGGGACGGCCACAGTGTCTTTCTCCCAGGTAATAACAGGTGTGGGTACTCCCTCAATCTGGCACTCAAAGCGAGCAGCCCCCCCAGTGGGCACTGTGTGGGGCGATGGCTCCTGATGAAACTTAGACAGACCTGGGGGGTAGAGAGGGGATAGAGGTCAGGGGGGTACAGTATCTATCAACGCAGAGCTGTTGATTTCCCAAAAGACAGACAAAAAGGAGCCCATCTCTAAATTACTGTTCCAGCAAATGACATATTTGTAATGGTCTGACTTGTGTGTGTCATGTTGTCTACCTGTAGGACATGGTCTACAGTGTTTAAAGTAGGTCACACAAGATGAGACAGACAGTAGTTTCTGAAGGTTTGGTCCACAGTTGTTGGACAGCTCTGTTTCCATCAGAATCCACATGGATTACACACACACACACACACACACACACACACACACACACACACACACACACACACACACACACACACACACACACACACACACACACACACACACACACACACACACACACACACACACACACACACATACACACACACACACCAAGTACATACAATTAAATGGGCTGCAAAACCAATGTGGTCATGGAAGGGGCTCTACATTAATTGTGTGTTCAACCTAATTGAGACCAATTATCCCATTCAAAATGTGGTTTAAAATATAACATTTATTGGAGATTCTTCATTTTAATTGGTTTATTCTAAAACCAGCATAATTAGGTTAAGAATCAGTCAATTTTAGTGATTTTAAAAGGTACCGTTTTCCATTTTGTAATTTAATTATAGACTCGTTCAGACCTTTTAAATACCCTTGAATGTCCTGATTAGGAGAAATTTGGGGATTTAATCAGGCTTGGCTAGCTTATTCCTCTCTCCAGGTTGAGTCTTGGCAGCGCTCCAACTTTCAAGGCATCAACACATTCACAGCATGGGAAAGCCTCCTCCTGTAGATAATACCCAGCACCAGGGGGCAGCAGTGAGCGCTGTCTGAGGGCCTCTGACCTCTGACCCCGACAGGCTGCTGGAGAAGAGAACAAAACTGGTTGGTTGTCCCAGTCACTTGCCTGCAGCTCTGACTGAAGAGTAGAGAGTGGGGGGTGGATGAAAGGAGAGCGCGGAGAAAGAAGACAGAGAAAGCAACAAGAGGCTAGAAGAAAGCAGGGAGGTAACAGAAGGAGACTCCAAATCCCAGATGATATATAACTATGCTAGAAAAGACACTATAAATGTATAAGTGGCAGAAAAACTAACATTGCCAACATGAAGACTGTAAATCTTTCCATACATACATGTGCTCCAGGAAATGTACCAAAGAAAAGGCCAGACATTGGAATAGATAAATGCAGCTTTAGAATAAAGTGGTTTGTTATCAGTTATCAGCTTAGTGGTTTCTTTATGTTGTTCTGTAACATATTTCCTCATGTGGGGCTAATCGCAGAACTGATTCATCACACCAGATTTGCACAGCATGAACACATGTAAAGATTATCCAGCTGTGTTACATACAGAAACATAACTTGCAAGAAGGACTAATCTGATTCACACATCTGAAAAAAGCTGCTGGTAGCTAGATACTGTTGTATTATAGTTTAAACAGATTGCATAGGCCTTTTGCCGAAAGATTAGATCTTACTTAGAGGTCACACGTAAATTGTTTACTGCTCTGAATCCGAGTGATTCTGGAAGCGTTTCTATTCGAGACAGGATAGTCCTGGTCTTTAATGCTCTTTCTTTTGGGTTACTCTAGTTAGGACCAAGCCATGTAAATGAGCCATGATGTCTTGCAGTCCACTGAAATTCAAGTAAACAAAGCTTAGAGTCTGCAGAGTGCAGCTGTGAGACTGTACTTAGGCACAGTGGTGTAATGTGCTAAATGCGGTTGTAGACTCTCATTGACAATGCTAACATGCAGATGTTGAGCAGTTATGTGTACATGATTATATACCATCCTATTTCAGCAGGTGGTATGCTAACATTTGCCAATTAGCAAAGAAAAAAAAGCACAGCTGAGGGAAATAAACCGAACCATCAGACAATTCTGACCTGACAATAGCTCCAGTAGAAACGTTAAGAGATCATATCATTTATTTAAAGGGTGGCATGAATGTCTGAAGTCTCATGGAAACACAGCAAATAGTTGTTGAGATATTAAACTCCACAAATGTTCAACCTTTGGTACTTTCAAACTTGCAACCAATAACAAGACTGTATCAAGTTTTCAAGCAATCCCACATTTTTTAACAAGCTTTCTTTTCTTAACCACTGTAAGCTCGAGGAGACTATGCATGATTACCCTAACCCTTTCACACCAACTGTTGGTCATGGCAACAAACTGGCCATCTGTGTTTTCCTACTGTGCTGGGAGAAAGTTTCAGTTCACAGAGGCTGGCCATAGTAGCCGAAAACATTTGATTCATCTCAGAAACACTTGCAGTGATTGTTGCGTTGCAAGTTTTTGCAAGAACAGTTGATGATTAACCGCGGCCACATATAGCCATTACACAGCAGGATGCCCTCATGTAAACACACCAACTGAACCACTGCCAGAGAGACTGACAGGGTGCCAGCTGTGTGTGTGCGTGTGTGTGTGTGTGTGTGCATGTGTGTGTGTGTGTGTGTGTGTGTGTGTGTGGTGTGTGTGTGTGTGTGTGTGTGTGTGCACACGTGTAAACTTGAGTACATGTGTGCCGAGCTACTTGTACCTCAGTGTTGACTCAAGTGTGTTCTTTGATGCCTGTACAGAACTGCATGTGATTGTATTACTGGATGACTGTGAGCATATGATTGTCAGTGTGATGCTGTGTGTTTGAGTGTGTGTGACGCTGTATGTGTGTGTGGCGGATCATATTCCATATTGTAAATTCACATTCCTTTTTATATTTTGCACATTCCTGTTCAACTGCACAGCTCTGAAACCTTACATTCTGATAAACTGCAAATGTTTGATTGTTAGGTTAAGTTTTAATGGGACTTATCTTTTTGTATATTCATAACATTTGCAAACATTTCTTTTTAAATATTTTTCTTTTTTTTAATAGCGATTTTAAAAATAATTATTATGTTTTTGCTCCTTTTTAAATCTTAATTCCTCTTATTGTGTTTGCTTACGCATTGACCCAAACAAATGCTTGCTTGTATGCGTAAACCTACTTGGCAATAAACCTGATTCTGTGGTAAACAACAGCTGATCAGCGAGAGTGCAGATGAGAAAACTTTAGCGCAAAGGAGGCGGGCGGTGTTCGGAGAAGACACTTTGCCCATGCTGTGATGGAACAATGGCGACTGGCAGGACTTCCACCTCCTTTCTGTCAAAGCATAATCATATTAGTCTTTATCAGGAATCTATGCAAGTCCCCCCGCAATGAAATTCCATGAGAGAAGCGCCCGGCACCCTGCTGTTTTTCAAAGTAACACTCCCAACAAAATGTGACTTTTCCTAGCAACAAGGTCTTTAGAAAAAACGTTTTGAGGCAGCTCCCTGGGCACTGCTCTATGAAAAGTGTCTAACAATTCAATGCACTACATAAAAAGGTCCCCACATATGTATTTACTCACTCTCATTTGTCTTTTTCATTGCTTCTCCCTCCCCCCTGCCCTTGACTTTACCCCAGACTTGTTCTCTGTCTTTGTCTGTCCCTCTATCTATGCCCCACTCTTTGGCCCCACAGCTATCAGATTGCAGCGTTTTTCCCCTCCCCTTGTGCAACAGATAATTCCCCCCGTGACCCCTCTGCTACCCAGCTTTCAGGCTGACTAACAGTGTGAAACCCCATAAAGCGTGCCCCTAGCCTCAACAGATATTTGTAACAGCAACTGCGACATGTGTGGTATGACATTTTGCTGCCCTTTTAAGCGTTATTAAGTGGCTAAACTCTGACCCTAGAATGTATTCATCATTCGTAAAAAATGAAAGCTATTTCTAACAAACCTGTTGTACTTTTTGTAAAATGTTTCAGCCGGTACATTTGATTATATTGTTAGATGTTCCGGAACTACCGCTTCTCATGTTGAGCAGTGATCCTCCTCCTCATATTTTCATCTTTCGAAGCCATGGCGTGCATAGATTTGAAATGACGATTGTATGTTTTTACTGAAATCATGACCCCCACGTTAGTTTTGAATAAAAAACAGGGATACACCGTCATGAAAACCCCACAATTCAACGTACACAGGTTGTTTATTATCGAGAGCGCACCCTTTTTTATAATTATGTCATCAGCTATTTGACTGTAATGACTTGCAAAAGCTGGAATGAATTAGGATATATCAACATTCACCTCAGCAGCCCCATAATGAGAAAGGTTAATTGGTCTAATTAACATTAAAAGCTGCTTTTTCTCCTGCATCATCGTTTACCCGTGGATGTGTTTGGGAAATGTAATGTGCCTTCTCTGGCATTTTGCCGGGAAAAGAGCGAATTGGATTCTGAATTCCTGTTTGTCCGTATCTAATGAGTGAGCCAGTCTCTTTCCCTGTGTCTTTCCTTTCCCTACACATTTACATGCTTTTATACAAGGCCACACGCATCATATACTGCGACAGGGAAACTGGAGCAGGTGGGTTTCGTAATGTGTTTTCACAGATGTGATCTCTGCTACGTTCCCTCTCCAGTCTAATTTCTGCTGGAGAAGACACAGTAGGAAATGAGAATGTCCGCTCAATGTCAATGTTGGAGCAGTTCAGCTTCGACCTCCTGTAGCCTGGTCACATCCATTTCATAGACCTTCGCTGCTGATTTAATTCAAACGCCACACTCTCATGCATGCACATTTACTCACACACACACACACACACACACACACACACACACACACACACACACACACACACACACACACACACACACACACACACACACACACACACACACACACACACATACACACACACACACACACACACACACACACAGGTCATTCTTAATGGTGTCTGAAGCCTTTCCTTTCACCATCACCACAAACTCTCTTCAGTCTTTTCTGCCTTCTCACCATTCATCCCACATCCCCCCTTCGCCTCCTTTACTCCTTTGTGTTCCTCAAACAAGAGATCCTCATAAATAGGCATGTGACAGCTGACAAAAGCAGGGGCATCCACAAAGAGCACTGTCTCATTTTATACAAAGCTAATGACTAAATAAAGATGACCACAAGAGTGTGAGAGAAAGAGGCCTCCTTGGATCTTCCTGTACATTTCTTTCATTTCCACCCAGTTTTCCTCCTGCCTTTTAACCGACTGATGTTTAAAAGTGTACTTACTCCCAGGACACTTGCTAGCACTCAATCAGAGGATAATTCTTCTATCTGAGGCGCAGTATAACCAAGTTCATCTCCATCGACGCAAGAGAAATCCCTTGACAAATCTGACAAATCACATTGCTTGTGTGTGTTTGCATACTGAACTCTAAATGGATAAATGAATCAAACCAATATTCCTCCATTACATAAGGGACAGTGCGACCTACCTCTTGAAATATTAAGCAGTTTTACTGCCAAGAAAAACAGATACCCCACAACACAAAAAGTAACTGTATTTTCATGATATAATCACCATGATGGAAGAATAACTTAATTTAACCTCAAAAACACATTTTGTAGCTTTCACTTTAGTGTCTCTCAACAAAGTGGCAGAAAATAGTGAGCTATGTCCACCACATTTTCCGAGAGCCGATGGTGACCTCCCCACAACTCGTGTTTTGCCCAAGCAAGGGGGCAAATGCAACCAAATATGAATGCAATTTACCATCATAGAGGACTCCAAAAAGCAGAGAATTAGGGCTTTTCTATTTAAAGAAGTAACTAAATTATCATTCCATTATCGGATGGGTTTATTTTGTGTAGATTAACTAATTGATTGATTACCTAATAGTTTCCGTTATACTCTATTAAACTTTGTATCTCTAAAGCAACTATGGTAAGAACGTTTGTTGAACTTTCTATCCATCTATCAATGCACTTTTTAAACTTTGGGATTGGAGCCTATCCAAGCAAGCATTTGGCCCAAAGCAGTAAACTCTAGACAAATCGCTGTAGCTTTATCAATGCTCCAAATGCATTGATTTTGATACATATTCATTGTCATAGATGAGCATATGAGACTTACTTGCTAGGAGAACATTCACAGTCCGGCTGGTCAGGGCTCCGAGGGCGCTAGCAGTCACACAGCTGTAGCCCCCCTCCACTCCCTGGTGGGGGGACTGGCCCTCCTTAGAGGTCGGCAGCAGGAGAAGGGATCCGTTGGCCAAATACTGCAGGAAGCGCCCCCCCTCCAGAGGCAGGCGCTGGCCATCCTGAAACCAGGTGACATTGAACGGTGTCTCAGTGGCCCCAAGCTTGCAGTCCAGCAGGAGGGGCGAACCTGGCTCCAACACTACATGACTGGGCCCCGCCCCGCAGCTCAGCTCCACCGAAAAAGGCTTTTCTGTGAGGGACAAAGATAGAAATGATTGTTAACCGTGTTGATGAACATATTGTTAAACACATACAAAGTGGAAGCAGGTCTTTGTAATGCATGCGTCTTCTCTGTTTCTTCCTTTAGAAGAAAAATGGGACACAACTGGCAGACACATCAGACCAGAACGTTTAGTTGGCATTTTGTATCTGTTGTTTGTTAGTGTTACTGATCTGCATGCATACAAATATAAGAGGGATTGTCTGGTAGAGGTAAAGGGTACTAAAGGGTCTGGTTTACATTCAAAACCTGTATGTTTCCAGTCAAATCTTTCACTATGTTAATGCACACTCTGACAGCTCCACGCTGCACTGGAGTCTTCAGGTTTCTTTGCTGGTGTTGTGTCAGAGACTGTTTCTTTCTAAGTAGGACATTGTGTATAAGATAATTATCGATTTGCATGTTTCATAGCTACGTCAGTACTGTTTAGGACAGACATTTTATTTAAAAAAATGTTTTTGGAGCGTAGGGATCTTTAAACTATATATTTAATATGTCTCTAAATGTTCATTTAGATGTAGACCTTGCTGGAACCCTCTGTAGGAACCTTTGTATTGCTCTGTGAACACTATCACAGCTCAACTATAAATCCAATATTGCACCTTCATTCTTCATTGATGCAATTATTCACACATCTGTTTTTTGTCCTTTTCGGCTATTTTTGCCTACTTTATCAATCCCAGCATGAGGCCATTTTTCATTTGACAGCAACAGTTCAATACAATCGATAGCGCTGGCAGCACAGATGGATATGGGTGGTGCATTCCAGAGGCAGGGTGATTTGGGGACAGAGTAGCGGCCAGAGGAGGAGACAGAGGAGGAGGGGCTCTGAAAATGAAATGGGTGCAGCGGCATGAAGGGATTTGTGTGTCAGCAGCAGGACATTAAAGTCGGTGAGAGAGAGGGGAAGTCCTGGAGTGAAAGGTTGATGAGCTGGTGTGAGATAAGCAACAGTGTGCTACATAAACCGTGGTCAAAGGAGATATTTCTTAGCCACCGTGCTAAAGCTTCATCATTCTTGTTTTTTAAAGAAAGCTTTATGATTTAGAGTGTGAAAGAATGCTTCCATTGCCGTGTTTGTCAATGTTTGAACACACTTAATGCAATGTATGAACTTTCTTTTACTTCATTTATTTGACGAACAAGCTGGAATGATACAAGTGTAAAACAAATCAGTAAGATATCTTGAGAAGAAGGGAATTATTGAACAAAGAAGGTGAAAAGATCAAGATCGGTTTTGTAGGTGGGACATAAAAGGAACTGAAGAGTTCAAACCTTGACTGACACATTGGTGGTTAATTATATGTTATGAACAGGCTGAATAGCATTAGACCAGTAAGGTAAAACCATGAATAGTAAGGGTAAATATTGCACTATTCTCAGTAGACTACACATTCTATCCAATATTAGACACTGAGGTTCAGCAAGTAGTTGTGATTAAACACGGATGAACCTGATTTAGCTTGTAATCGCTTATTTTCATATTATTTCAAATATTCATACATTTTAGGAAGGGCATGCTGACAGTAACGTATTCACTTTAAAGAAAATTAATCACTGCTGAAAACACAGAATCCATATACACTATTCATTTCATTTCAAACCTTTATTTATCCAGGTGAATCCCATTGAGATCATTGATCTCTTTTTCAAGGGAGACCTGCTAAAGGAGGTTCCACATGAAACATAAAAAACATAAACAGAACAACAAAAGGACATCTTACAGCATCATTACAGGGATTACAATTTACAATAACTATCCACATGAGCAGGTACCAACAGCTTCCGATTGAGTAGCATCCAACCGAGCTTTAAAAACATTTACTGGCACCAGATTGCTCAGTTTCCATTTCAATTGCAGACTATTCCAAGACAGAGGAGCTGCACATCTGAAAGCTGTCTTCCCTAAGACAGTCGGCACATTTATTACATCACATGTCACTTGTTAGACGCGTTTATCCAAAGCGACTTACATACTCAATACTGTGGGCAATCCCCACAGGAGCAATTTGGGGTGAAGTGTCTGAGGGACACAACGACATGCTGACTGCAGTGGGGTTTGAACCTGTGACCCCCTGATCCGAACACCAACGCACTACCCACTTTGCCACACGCCTAATAAAACCACAGCATGCGATCTCAGGCAGTAGCCACTTACAATTCGCCGTGAGATCAGGGAGCAGATGTAGGATGGAAGTTTCCCTAACATGGCTTTGTATATAAAAATGTACCAGTGACTGAGCCTCCGTACAGTTAGTGAAGGCAAACCAGCCCTTGCATACAGGGTACAGTGATGGGTTAATGCTTTACAGTTTGTCACAAATCTCAGTGCACTGTGATACGCAGCATCTAACTTGACCAGGCGATTGGCAGGTGCATTCATATAGATCAAATCACCATAGTGTCCAGCACAGGTCAAAAGGTCACAGTGACTAGCCTTTTCCTGGCCTCAAGCGAGAAACAGGACTTGTTTCTGAAAAAGAAACCTAGCATAACCCTCAGTTTTTTAAGCAGGTTATTGACATGACATTTAAAAGTGAGAAAATCAAGCCATATATATACTGTATGAATCCATCTTAGTGCTGTTGGATTGATTTGATATAATGTATGTTGTCTTTTTTTAGATGACCCTAATTGAATTTAGCTTTCCTGTTTGTGTTACCTGCAATATTCAAGCATCTTCTGAGCGTTGGAATGAGTTGCCTCGTTTTGTTTTGAACACCTACATTGTTATTGTCTGACCTCCTCTGTTCAAGCCTGGTGGATTATTTATGTGTGGTGTTCTCCAATGCAGCGGCACTTACTGAAAGGTCTAAAAACACATTTGCACTGAGAGTGAAAGCAGATGTATGGAGCCAGTCGCCCCCTCTGTCAGATCCTAGTAATCTGTGTGAATGTGAAGGTTTTCAAGTGTCAACCTTCTCTAGTTTGAAATTAACTTCGACACAGCCTTTGGGGATAAAACCAAATTAACCTATTGATTCTGTCTGACCTGCACAGTCTGGATTTGAAGTGCAGTGCTGCAACTAAACCCACCATGAATTGAGGATTTAATTCAAATTAATTAATCATTTAATTAAAACAGAAGGAACACTTTTCTAAAGTCTCAGTTTGTTGGTGGAGCAGCTAATAAAAAGCTGAAAAAACACATACTATAATCAGTTTAAACAGGACCAACACTTATTGAACATATCATTTGATGATTATCTTTTCAACATGTAAAAGGTTCTAATGGATCTCTTGGTTCGATGTATTGGCATACAAGTGAAATTATTTGCATGCATTACATGACAGCGCTATACAAAGGGTTCAGGGTTGTATAAGTGATGTGCGGGCAAGGTGAATGGTGGATTCTTTACTTCTGCCTACAGCTCGGATTAATCTAAAGGTGAAAAATATTATAAATGAATTCCCTTTCAGTGTTGTTTCCATTAAGTCTGTTACATCATTTAAAGTGTCCCTCTTTAGTTACAAATCCCTTCATGATTATGGCTTATAAAGGTTATTTTCTCACAGACGTACATTAACACACACACACATACAGTACACACATACACATATACACACATACACACACACAGGCAGGTTTCTTTCAGATTCTCTTTCTCCAGTGTTGGATTAATTAAGTTAATGGGAATTTTTTCCTTGATTAAATGAGGCCTGACCCCCCACCATCACTTCCTGATGAAGAGGCTGGGTAATGCTGAGAAAGGCAGCACAGTGCTCTCTCACACACACACACACACACACACACACACACACACACACACACACACACACACACACACACACACACACACACACACACACACACACACACACACACACACACACACACACACACACACACACACACACACACACACACACACACACACACACACACACACACACACACACACACACACACACACACACACACCAGAAATCCCATACGAATAGGGAACATAGAAGCAGCACACACTGTAGGAACAGAAACACTTTGTACAAGTACGCCATCACAAACACTGACACAGATCACCTTCATGGCGTCTCTTTTTTTTTGCCCCCATTTCAGCTAATTAGGTCCCATTAAGTCATTAAAATGTTAGCAGCCTTTTTCCAGCTCAATGGCAATGGTTTTACATGGCAAGAGGTGGGGATCATTCCGCATTTGACATGGAAGACTCCCATATTTGGAGTGGAAGATAAGCAGGAAACACACATTTTACTTTAGGTAAAGACGTCCTTACACTTATCTTTGCTTTTAAATGAGTGTTTTTAAAAAAGGCTCGGGCTTTTAGCTGCACTGCTCCCAGACTCTGGAACTCCCTCCCCCGCACATCCGACAGTCCGACACACAATCACCATTCAAATCCCAATCAAAAACCCACATGTTCAAATCTGCCTACTCACTCACTGCTCCCCATTATATGTTTCATTTGTGTCCACTTGATTGTCTCCTCCATGATTTCCTGAACATGTTTAGTTGCCTATTAGCATTTTATTTTTTAACAAATTGTACAGTGTCCTTGGGTGTCATGAAAGGCACCTAAAAATAAAATGTGTTATTATTATTATTAAATGCCATTTTATAATATGTTTCTTAATGCTCATAATGTTTGTAAAGCACTTTGAATTGCCTTGTGTTGAAAGGGGCTATCTAAATAAACTTGCCTTGCCTTACACTTAAAAAACACAATTTATAATAGGATAAAATAAAACAAAGGTGTTCAACCTGTAACTGTCAACATAAAGGGAGGTTACAGGACTAGCATGATTTGCTATCCGTTTACAAAAGGAGGCATCATAATCGTATCACATATTTCAAGCTATTTCATCCGGGAATAAATCACTTGAAAACTGACACACTTTCACACTGGAAAACTTGCCCTAGATTTGTGGCCAATATGCAGCACACACACAACTACACACACACACATATTCACACGCTGACATGTACCCACACAGCTGTTTCAACCCACAGAGAC